GCTGGTGACGGACAGCCTGCTGCCATCGCAGCCCCTGGGTGCCACCGCGGGGTGGCAGTCCCCCACCCCATTGCAGGGAGGGCAGAGTGGTGCTGTCAGAGCAAAGCTCCTGGTCAATGCCCTCCTGCTCCACTCGTTTAACCCCGCCAACCCCCAGGACTGATGCTCCTGGGAAGCCACAGCCATACCAGCTTTGCTGCTGCTTCCAGCTTGCGCCAGGACCAGCTATTTCCCCTTGGAGATGCCCCTGCTCTGTCCCAAGCCTTCTGACCACCAGTGGTCTCCAAAACCTCGCTGGGACGTGCCAGCACACGGGTTCAGTGGGGATCATCTACCCTCACAGTTCACCCGGTACCGGCTTTCCCAGCCCCAGGTAAGTCATCTTCCTTCTGCGGACGTGCTCGGGGGGATTTGGAAGCAAGTGATGACAGATGGCTTCAGAGCAGAGAGCATATATTCAAGATCTGCCTCCCGTGAACTGGATGACTAATCCGAGATCAAATATCAGCTCTGGTACTGGGAGCTGCTGCTGGAACGGAGGCTGTTCCTCCCCAAGGGGAGCAGAGGGATGCAGGCTGCTGGGCCAGCAGGAGAGGCAGGTAATGTCCTTAAGCCCAAGCCAAACAAAGGACTCTAGATGGATTAATTAGCTGGATGCAAAATAGCGTCTCAGCAAACTCCACTCATCTCCTGAACCCTGGCACGTGGTGCTCAAGACCCTTCACCACCCGCTGCCACAGCGGCATCCGAGGGGACCGGGCACGTGCTTGCTCTGAGGGGGGATACAGCCCCCCGGCATCCGCTCCCGGCAGCGGCTGGGTGCAGGGTGCCGGGCAAGTGAAGCCTTTGCTCTGCGCCAGGATTCAGGCTCAGGTCCCCAGGGAACACAGTCACCCTCCTTGAGGGAGGCAGGCAAAAACCTGAGCCTGAGTGGCTTTACGCAGCTGAATGATGGCCAGATAAAATCCCCACGGGGAACAGGTATTTTTTTTCTTGAATGCTCTCTGCTCTGTTACCAGATGAGCAATAACTGACGCTGCAAGAAAAACTATCGCCAGCTTGCCAGCTGCTCTTCTGAAGATGGATGGTGGAGATTAAGGCCAAAGTATCTTCCTGCTCAAGACAGCCTTGGGCAGGACGGCCCCCGCAGCGCACTCAGCCCTGGCAGAGACCTCGCAGCCGCCCCCTCCTCTGCCCAGACAGGGACCTGCACCCATCTCCTCCTCTCCGTTCCACGTTCTTGCACTGGCGAGGTTATTTTCCCAGAGCCATTTAAAGCTGCTTTTTCCTCTTTTCCTGACAGCTAGGGTAAATCAAGGGGGGGTTTAGATGTGCTGTAAGGCTTTGCACCGCTGCTTGCCGAGCTCTGCTCTTCTGCAGGCTCAGCTCATGGGACAGGGCTCGTGCCAAACCCAGCGGAGGTTGTTTCCAAAGGCTCCAGCCGCAGACCTATCTGTGGGGCTCCATAGGACAGGAGCATCGCCGACTTGAGCTGCTCGGACATGTGCTACGTGCTCTGCCAACACCCCCAAACCCATCCGAGACGAGGGACCTACGTGTGTGATGGATCCTCGGTAGGTGATGGGCGACTCCGGAGGGGGTCTGGATGTCGGCGTTCCCTTGGTGATGCTCCCTCCCGAGGCAGAGCTGAGGGAAGTACCTGTAGGGCACAAAGCTGGTAAGACGGGGGCTGGATTCATCGTTCGGCACAAAACCTGTGGGGCTCAGACTGCTGACGAGGCGCAGGATGTGCGACCCAATCCCTACCAAGCAGAGGTACTGGAGGGAAAGCCCTCCAAGGGATGTCAATATTAAAGCCCATTCCTTGCAGAGCCCTTCCCACCCGGCCCCCGAGGGACTCAGTGCTTCAGGGAGGTTGAAAAAAATGGGTGTTTTGAATCTATCAGCTGCCTTCGTCGGGAGGGCGGGCAGATTTATGGGCCTGGGAGCAAGCAGCCATTGCTCTCAATGCAATCAGGGCAGATCTCTGGTGAGATGCGGCTCAGGGTGGTTCGGGTTTGCTTGTGAGTTGTCTGTGCCAGGTGGAGCAAGTCCATCGCGCTCCGACTGCCATTGCTGGAGGCTTCACATACCCGAATTTGCCCTTAAAATCAACACCTTTGCATTAATTTGCTGCTGCCTAGCTAATGAGGGAAGAACCACGGGCAGGCTAGATTTAAATGAAATGTGGTCCCTGCCCAGCTGCAGCTGCAACAGTGAAGAGCTTGAAAACCAATTAATGGCATTTAAACAGGTTTTGCTTTGTCTTAACCAACAGATTTCATGGTGTCCCTCTACCGGGATCAATGCCTGAGGCTGGGATTTGTGAAGACGACTAGAAACGTTGAGACACTGCACAGATCTATCTGCCACCCCTCTTGGGAGGGCCGAAGAGACCTCATCGGCCGGGCATGACCTCTGAAACCAAACCCTGGCAGTGCCAGCATCCCTCCCCTCCCGCAGCCGGGCACGCACCCCGTGCCCCAGCCCCTCACCCCGCAGGATGGAGCCCTCCTGGGACGGCTGCAGAACCAGACTTTCCGGCTGGCTGGCCTGGCTTCTAGGAGAAAGTTGTTCCTGCTTTACTCCAGGAAAAGGCACTGGAAAACATTAACCACAGATGAGCGTAGGTGCAGGGCACAGGGCTGCAGCCCTCGGGTTTCACCTCTGCCAGCCCCGCGGTGGCACCCCCACGGCACCTTTGCCACCCCCAGCGCTTTGGGACAGGCTTGGCAAAGGCACTGCCGGATGCTGCCTGCAGTGGGACCGGAGCCGGCAATGAGAACTGGTTTATAACAGGACCCGCATGCAGTGGAAATGGGGCCCATGTTCCTCCCCCCAAGACTTGATCCCTCGCCCATCCCCTCCTGCTGTTAAGAAATGTTTCCAAATCTGCAGACTAAACACTTTCTTTGTTCACTTCGGGCCATTTACTCTTTATTCCCCTGGCCTGCGGAGCAGCAATGTATTTCCCTCCTTCGATCACAGTATTAGCCAGAGGGTATTTATATGCTGGGACACATCCCTGACGGAGTTGTGGCTTTACTATGCTGCACCAATTTAGTTCCCTGTGTCTCTGCTCTCCCCACAGATCCATCCTTTCACCCTCCTGGCCGGCCCTTCCGCGCTCCCTTGCCCCGTCCCGTGCTCTTCCCTTCCCCTGGGCCGCCGGCAAGCTTGCTCCTGGAGCACGGGAGAAGTCACTCGCCCCCCAGTTCCTTACCCAGTTTCTTGGGATCCATGGTCAGCGGGAGGCCCATGGTGATGGAGCCGACGGGGACCTTGGCGTGCTCGGAGCTGTAGGGCGTGTGGAGCTGGATGGGCATGCCCTGCGGTGCAAGAGGAGAGGTCAGGGAGCGGCTGCCCATCCCAGCGCGGCGTCTCCGCCGCTCCCGCCCCATCCCCTACCTGGGAAATGGATCCGACGGGTCTCTCGAGCACGGAGGGGTGCTTGGTGGAGGAGATGAGGGGAGGAGGGTTGGAGATGCTCGCTAGTCTCTGTAGCCCTGAGCGAGAGCTCTCATGCAGGTTTAGCGGGATGGGGTGTCCTGCATGGAAAACACAAGCGTCAGCGAGGGAAGGTGGAGTGGCTGCAGCTATCGGAGAGGAAAAGGGCAAGGGAGGGAGCCAGTGCTGGAAGCAGAGAACTGACCGGCTGTGAGCCTGCACTAGGATCCAAGGCACACCATCGTTTTGGGAAGGACTGGAGTAGTTTAAATCACTGCCTTGTCCCCTCAGCAGCCAGAGGATCTGCTGTGTTCGCCCCATCTGCCCGGCAGCCGGAGAGCGACCAAAGCCAGGGCTAAAACCTGCTGGCTATCGCACGGAAGCGGCACACGGCT